TTCTAGAGTCACTATGTCGATGGAACGTGGATCAAGATACTTCGTAGTGTACATCGTAATTGAAGATTACCGGATGGGCAAGAAATTCTCGGGCGATTAGTCCTGTCCGTAGGATGGTCATTTATCCTCTACCTTGATCACCGCGAAGCGAGGTTTGCCTTGCCACACATACACTACAAGCAAAATGAGATAGGACGAGCCACGTCTTGGCCGCCTCTTTTCAATCTGGACACCCATGAGACATTCAAGGAAATGAGTTTCACATGAGCTGCCGGGATCTGAAAGGAAGCTCACATCCGTCCTCCCAGTTCCGCTCAGATGATTTCACTCCTCGTCGCATCGTCTGGGGTGGGCGAGCCAAATCTCAATCACAAACTATCCCTGAACGATTTGAAAGTGATCTTCTGGGCTAGTCCTATTAATATTGCGAAGTGAAGTGCAAAAGACCAAAAAACGCATTTGATTCTTCCTTCGAATAAAAAACGCCGAGGTACCAAACTTCTCTTGCATTGTTCTGTGCTTATGAAGTACTTTGATACACTACCTCGTCCGCTTCGCAGGAAAGAAGCAAATGCGGGCCCGAAAAATTCCAGGACCTCCTAGCTAGACTAGGTCGCATTCGGATGCCTGGAAGGGCCGTGATTCGGTAGGCGTTAACCATTACCATGGGATTCTCTCGCTGCGCAAAATCTGGGCATCTCCTTGACTGGCGAAGTGGGTCCGAGATCTCACTTCAGGTCAGTCGAGGGAAATGCTTGGGCCAGAATGGGGTGTGCGTGAGCGCTCGAGCTGTGGTGGGTCTGAACGGAAACGGAACGGGAATGGTTGCTTCGTAGTGTTCGAAAAAGTACTTCGTACTTGGTACGGTGGGTTCCTGCCCTGGTAAAAGGCCAGTACTCCAGGAGGCCCAGGATGCCTGTCACCTTGCTTGCACTTGCCGCACAGGGCAAACAATAACACTATTACTTCGTACACCCCCTCAAACAAGCACGACACCCCTGCTTGGAGACACAGTACGAAGTAAACCCATGTTGCGGGTAGGAAGTAATGACCGAAAATGCTTTCCGCCAGTCCAGATCTCATTCCCCAAGGCAAGGATCTTGGGAAACAGGACTTTATTCGTCCTTCTGACTCTGTAGTGCACGAAGTAATGTGGTGCTTCATTTGGTTCAGCCTCCAGCATTGATACGAGCCATGGAGTGGAATGACTTGAACCGACCCCGGCTCAGGACCAACCTTTTACTTCGTACTTCGAACATTATATCTGATTATCTGGTTTTTAGCGAATCAGGAATGGTGTCGTGTTAGATTCTCCTCCTCCGGTGTGTTCGAAGTACTTCGTACCTTCCCAACCGACAGTCCGAGCCAGCTTCCATCGGTGGGGAAGCTGATGTCGGAAAGGGTTCTGACCCTGTTAGTCCAGAACTACTCTGTTAGTTCACCTCGAAAACGCCAAGACATCTAGTCAGTTTTGGGGCTTTCATCCGGACTTGACGCCTACGAAATAATCGACAAGTACGGAGGTACACTTTGAACGGGGATCTGCAATACCATGGCCCTGTAAGCGGTGTTGCCGCAAAAAGGATTTCGAACACCTTTGTTTGTGGAATCCTTCTTCCGCTCAACCCTGCACTTTCCAGTTTCCACTGACTGGGGGGTTATTCCCTTTGACTCGTCCGCATGGGCTTGGATTCACTCAGTGAAGAAACGACCTAACTCGCCCCACCCCCCCCTATTCACAACCCACCCTCCCCAAGACTCCCCTTCCCATGAGCGTCTGTACTTGGTGATTCTCCAGTTTCAGAACGCGCTCCCCTCTCATACTCCGCACACTATACACAGGTACTTCGTACACTCCTGTAAGTATTGATTGAAGCCCTTATGTATTTCAGAGATGGCAGCACCAACTGGGTTGTCGAATCGGCCCACACAAGTTATTAATCACCCTTGATCCTTTCTCACACTGACTTTCCATCTGACGTCCCAGGAATGGAGGGTGGTCCTTCTCCCATTGGAGGATTATGTGCATCCCACATCAGCTCTCCACACACACACACACACCAAACCAACCTTCCCCCTCGTTACCAATTTAAAGAGGGAGAGAAACATGACGGAGGAGAGGCGCGACCTCCACAGGTACGAACGACACTGACACTAATACCATACTATGCCCACACCACATTCGCGAAACCACACCCACTTTCTAGACTCTGTGAAGTACTGGACATGAAGCAATAGTTGGCGGCTTCGGAAGCCTCCGTATGGCAAAGCAGAGTTCAATGTTCGACTTTGGTTGATATGTTTGGTCTGGTCAGCTCGCCTCCACCACTCCCTACGTACTTCCTACATCATGGGCGACCGATCAGCAACAACTTGGACACGTCTAAGGAAAGTACGAAGCAGATGAACCAGCTCCGATCTTCGCTTGACGACGTCGTATGTGCATAGATACGCAGATTCCTCTCCTGAAAGCCAGCTCACCTTCAGACTTGAGAAGGAGGTGCAGCATTCCCCCGAAATCAGCAAATGACGGCAAGGGACTAGGCTGGGGCAATTCCATCCATCTGTTTTGCCAACCTTGACACACCTCACTTCACCAGGAGGCAGAGAGGCTGGGCTGGGGGAGTGCATTGTTGTGGGGCGGCCAAAGTTGCACACCTCAAATCACCAAGATGAAAACCGATTTAGCCCCGCCCCTTACGGCACTCGAGTTAGTGGGCGGGCGCCCACACTGCATCACCGAAGAGCGTACACAGGTAGCGTACACTACACTAAACTACTTTTTTTCCCTAAGGGTCAGGCATGGACGAAGTAGCGCCATGGGAATGCATTGAACTTGGGTTTGCAAGTACGAAGTACATTACATTCATCCTGGCGACCAAAAGGTGGCGTTTTGTCACGGCTGGGCTGGACTCACATCGCCTGGCTGGTTGTACGAGTCGATAACCGACCGATCGGCATCCTTCTGTTTCAATATGCCTCTGGCGGCGCAACGATGTGTCGGTGTCTGCTCATGATTTTGCGGGTGGCCATCCATTCTTGGCATTCGTCCTCGGCATTCCCTGCATGCGACCCCCCTCCGACTGCCACACTTTCTTCTGCTGACGAAACGGCGCTCTACTTGTACGCTTTCCTTCACAACGTGGGTCCATGACTCTCGTTCCTAGGCTGCAGCAAAATATCCCTACGAAGTAACTTACATAGATGGAAGGAGGTATTTTGGGCAGCAGGCTTCCATCTCTGGCACATCGGGTGCAATTCCCCGACCGCGCAAATGTCTTGCCTCATCCTTTGTCGATGCCTTGGGCCAGCTCACATAATACTCAAAGATCACAGGGTAGTACGACCTCGCAACAGTTCCAACACACCCGTGCACACCCGACCAGGCGGTGTGCCCGTATAATGATGCCGACGATCTCGGCTACGGAGAGTCAGACATTTGGCGAAGGAACCCACTGTCTGCGACCGTTGCTTTGACTTTTTCCCCTTCTTTTTTGTCTGGCGGCTCCTCGAGGCGAGGGAAACACGACGCCTGGTGGTGTCATAATAATCGAACTCCCACGGCACAGCGGCGTCCACTCACATCCGGTGATGTCACAGTCTCATAGACGGACATGCGGACGCTGCAGCATTCGCCCTACCATTTTGCATGGGGGATCGCACCTTGGTAATACATGGTCGTGTCAATCGATACACTATCCATATCTAGCCCCCGACGCGGAAACTCGAGACCCCATTTTCAATGTATTGGTTGGGAGGGTCTCGGTGGTGACTGACAAGTCTCCAACACCAACACGTCCGCAGACATGCACACAGTCGCTCTCCCGCGAATCAGTCAACCTCTTCTCGACCAACACTACAAGTAGTCGATCAGATATGCACCCAGATGACTGCTCATATATACCAAGCTTCCTTTTTTCCTATTTTCTTTTGTCCGCGACAAGTCATACAGGCACTCACACCAATATTGAAAGTAGCCATGCCTGGACCGAGGAAGGAGTTTTAGTGGACACTACTGATAGTAGCGCCCTGATCCGACTTCATCCTGGTGCCTCACCGCCTCTTCTAAAACTCGTCGTTCCTGTCACTGATCGAAGCCGATTATGGTAGGACTTGCATGCACATTGGACAGGCAGGAGAAAGGCAGGCCTGGACACAACCGATCTGCCATTCGATCCTTCTCCTTCGCATTGTTCCCACCAGTGTACTTTGCTCATCTCGCCTCAACAGGGGGGACCTCCCAGTGAGATATGTCTGTTCCAGCCGAGGACCGCAGATGCAGTTTTGGCGAGTGACTGGTCATCTACCAACGATTAAAAGCGCACCACTATACATACATACGACTACACATGTGGTTCCCCCGCGACATCCCCAGACCCAATATGCCTAGGCACGCAAGGACAATTTTGCTCACAAAGTGTTGGCGAATTTCGCTCACACCCCGCGGCCGCCTTTCACGAGGATGTTGCCCACCTCCTCCCGCCGACAGAACACGTCGGTCCCGGGCCATAGTATGCGTAGAATGGGAAGACGCGAAACCCACCCCCATCTCTCCAGGTTTCTAGATACGATGGTCGGGAGAAGGTGGTGGGGTCGTATTGTGGGGGTGTCGGCACAAGTTGAAGAGTTGTTGAAGGGTTGAAGAAGCTATTTACCGACTTGGCCGAAAGCGGCAGAGGGCCAGCAGAGAGGCGCAAGTGAAGGTGAGTGCATTGGTGTCTTGGTGGATATCGGAAAAGACATGGTGTGCTTCCCGTTTTGATATAGTATGCGTGGCCCTACTACGCATGTGCCCAGCCGATAGTGTGCGCATCCTCTGCCTCGGAGGTTTAGGGACACTAAACCTGCGAAGTCGTGTAATAAGCAAAGCATACTGCACTCTAGTGTGGGCATTCGACTAAATCATCTGACCTACATTACCGAGGTAGCCCATCACCGACTACAACCCACTAGCAACTCTTCGCACATGTATGAAGTTGTCCAGAAGTGGGAGAGTCTCCTCATGCTCTGAAGCCGCTTGCAAGTTCGAAAAAGAGAAGACCTGAACTATTTTTTTCATTTCCGAATACAAGCCCGGATCTGGCCTCATCGTTTGGGAAAACCTTGCGCAACCTATTGACCCACGGGAGCAGCGGTCGATAAAAGGGCGTAAAGTTTTCATCCGCGTCTCTGAGGAGTTCGCTCTCATCGCCTATCGTACCGATCTTCGAACGAACCAGATCATTGTCACTTTGACAATGCCAACTGTCAAACTCCCTCCCCGACCCGTCGTAGTGGATGCATATCCAGAACAGCACCCAGAAGAACGACCCGAGATCGTGCATGAAAGAGCGCTCCTCGCCTAGAAGGACCCCGATAGCCATGAACGCCCTCGTGTCCACTTTTCCTCGGGCTCCCGAGCGGCTCGTTGACTGTTCTTCCTTAATCGCGAGATCGAGGTCGATCAAGAAACCGCGCGGGGAAGTGAGGTCATCCTCATTTACCATGAGGTTGTACGAAGAGATGTCGCAGTGTAGCACGCCAGCTTGCCTATGCAAAGACTCATACCCTTCAATACAATCTTCCAGGGCAGAGAGCATAGCGGCCGGAGAGCTCGACTTGTAGATGGGCTTCCCGTAGTCGCGGACGATGACGCGACGGCGCACCGTATTCGGAACTGGAGGGGTCGTTTCGGGCTTGACAGGGGAGGTTGAGCGGCCATGCTTGCTCGGCGGAGCGCCTGTGTTATAGGAAGAACACTTCCTCTCCGGCCCAGTGGCACCGGTGCTTCGACTTGTTCCCTTGCTGTTCGTTCCAGTTTTTGCTCGCAGGCGGCATCGTATGATCCAGCTTGTAATTTGCCGTTTGTATGTCCAGGCCTTTCCGGATATTGTTGCAGATGTCGTCTTCCTTCCCGCCCACGTAAACCGTCTCATGGTGGTAGTACGTTGGCCACATTGATCACTCCCTTTTCCGCCGCCTCGCGCAGCAATTTGCCCTCATCACGCTTTGGGTTCTGCCATGAATCCTTGATGACCAAGGTTCTCTTCGAATCGTCCCCTTCAAGGCGTCCTTTCCAGCAAGTCGTTGCTCGGCCGGCTAGGACCGGACTCCGTCTTATCACCGCGTCAATGGCAATTCGCCCAGTCTTGCCATGCCTTTGGTTTTCAACGTATCGCTTGCCATCAGATGTTTTAAAGGACGAGTCCAATCAAAGCTGAGTATCACTTTATCCACAGAAACGCTAGGACAGCGGACATAAACCGCAGCCCATCTTGATTGATGTCGAAAGGCATAGATGCGATGGCGCCGAGTCTGTCGAACTCCCACAGGCGCATAAGCGATCCGCACAACGAAAACCCCAGGACGAAACGACGGGAGTCCTGAGCATAGAGAAGATCTTCTGAATATCTCTCCAGGTCGAACCATGCCTTTGGTGTAGCATCTGCCACCGGGTTGGGCTTAAGCTCTCGCGTCACAAGAATCTGCGACCAGTGGAATTTGGAGCGGTTGCCGAGGTTCGCGTGGTCTACAAAACCAATGCGCAGCTTGATCTTATCCGTAGAGTCTCGCAAGTGTGTGTAGAGTCGTGCCAACCGCCTACGTCGAGTGCCCGTGGGCCTATGTTCCTTTGCGAGGTCAAGAAGCTGGTCCGTTAGACGGGCCAACCAGTTCAGGATGTCTAGCTCTTTCGCGTCCTGGGGCCAGCCTTGCCAGCCGACCCCTTCTTTGTAGAGTGGACATGCCCTTCCTTGCACCTCTCAAACACGGCATTGGCCGTAGAGTCAAGACCCGCGATGTCTCCAAAGAATGCCTCCTGGAAGCCAGACACGCCTACGTGCACGAGTCCAACTTCCCCCTTCAGTACACCCTCCACGTGTTTTCGGTATTCGGAGGAGTTCACAAAGTTGCTTGAATTACGCACAGGCGAGATCCATTGGCTCGACGGAATGGAGGGGAGAGGGATGGACTGAGTGATAGACTCATCGCGTTTACTCCAAATGATGTCGTCGGGTTCACGGTTGAGGACGGCTCCCTGGAGAAACTTGATGCGGTTGGGGTAGAAGTGGGGGATAAGTGCTACGCTCAGTCTCGACAGGTCATGGAAGCTAGTTCCGCTTCTGGTCCGGGAGGGCAGCAGTCGCGATGCTGGGAGGTTCTGAAGTGCCCGGACTAGCTCAGCCGCAAGATCCCATAGATCTGCACACGTTGAATCGGGCTTCAGCAGCATTACCATGGCTCCTGCACAGCAAGGAGCAGAGTGCAATGTCTCGTTTTCACATAGTTCCATGCCACAGTAATGCCCACGCTCCATGGTGCCTTCACACACACTCCGCTGCTATGGCGAGCTGGTGGCCATTGGCCATGAACCAGCTCCCATGGGAAGCTGCTGAAAAGCTCGATCGCACGTTCCTCTTGATATAACCGGGTGGAACCGAACGGCAGCTCCGGTAGATATAGGTTTCGACAGTGGACTCCAACCCGGAAAAGAATCGAAACTCCGGTCGACCATCACGAGACACCCCGGCGCACTCAAGTCTTAGTCCAACCGCACGAATAGGTCCATCTGTGCACGACGAGTCTCCGAGGGGATGGAATTAACAATGAAGAGAGCTGGATTGTGGTAACTGAAGCAATCAAATAAGAAGTGCCTGTCAAAAGCACTAGAATGCAGACCGAACTGATTGAACTGTAAAGAAGGAAAGAAACAAGAAAAGGAGCCTTCCTCATCATCTGCATCATGAACCTTGACCCTGAGCCTTCCTCTTGCATCTCTTGCATTTGATGTCTCGAAGCGCCTCTGCGTGAAGGTCCCTTGATGCTACAATTGTATCATGGTATCCCGCTGACTCAGCAGACCGACCTCAGGCGAGTCTTGGTGCGATTGGACTTTGCTCTTTCGTTAATTCGCCAGTTGTACCTTTGTACCTGTGTAAAGACGAAATAACTCCATGTTTCTGCGGCCAAGTCTCGCAGGCGAGAACCGTACGAGCATCGAGTCTTTCGCGATTGCGGGCGAGGATATTCTCCATCGTGATGGTTATGTACTGAAGTTACCCCAGTACTGTAGCTCTTATCAACTTGCTTTACTGTGGCTCCTCTGAATCAGTGGCTGGTCTGTCCCATTCATTGCCCCAGCCCCTCGCCAGGTACGCGGTGGAACGGGTAACCTTGAACGCGGGGCACTCTGATCTCTCTCCCATTCTGAAAAGCTTCACGTTCTCTGACGCGTTTCATCGAGACCCTTTTGCGCCTTTCCCCCTTCTTCCCATCACAACCGCGCCATCTCTCTCTTTTACTTCGTAAGACAAAAATCGAGACCTCTCCATTCCCACAGGCATTGGACTTCCTAGTATCCGATCCCACCCTCGTAAACGCGACATTTCTACGTTACTTAATCAAGCACAAGGAACAATAATGGTAAGTCGTGAACCACCTTCCGTGAGACTTGAAAACCCAGGCGCAGGCGCAGGCAGGCTAACATCGCCAACCCACCACCATCAAGCCGCCCAAGCGACGTTCCGGACCCTCCACCGACCCCATCCCACCCAAACCGCGCCAATCTAGGCTCGCAAAAGAACACAACGTCACCGCGCAAGAGGAGAGCGAGATCAAAGAAGCCTTCAGCCTCTTCGCCGAGCCCATGGAAGGCGAGCGAGAGGGCGTGATACCCACCAGCGATGTGCGCTCCGCCATGATGTGAGCTCTCCCCTCCCCCCCCCCCCCCCCCCGGTGCCTTACATTTATTTTCCTTCACAAAATATCGTAACGCTGACTCGTCGGCCCGCCCTCTCAGAGCCCTCGGCATCCCCCCAAAAGACGGCCCCGAACTCTCCGAATTCATCTCCATCCTCGACCCCGACTCCGAAGGCTACGCAACCTACGAGCCCTTCTTCGCCATCTGCGCCCTCAAGTTCCACGCCCGCGACCACGACTCCGACGCCCACGCCCGCGAGCTCGACGAGGCCTACCGCCTCTTCACACACGGGTCCTCTTCCTCCTCGGGCCCCATCACCGTGGCACACCTGCGCAGGGTCGCCGCGCTGCTCAAGGAGGACGTCGGCGAGGATTTGTTGCGGGATATGATTTTGGAGGCGAATGGTGGGGAGGGCGTTGCGGCTGGGGTGAGGAAGGAGGAGTTTGATGAGGTTATGAGGAGGGCGGGGGTTTGGAGGTGATCGGGGAAAAAAAGGGGGGGTTGATGATGGTTAGGAGATTTTGGTTTGCCACGGGAGGCAATGGCGAGGAGCTTTCTTTTGGAATTTGGTCCTCCGCAAAGCCAAATAACCCTGGACGTTGATTGTCAAGGAGGCTTGAGATCCAACTCGCCCTTCTATGAGCCCACTCGACGATTAAGGGGATGGATCTGGAGCTTGCCGAGGTGCCATGGCGCGCCGGCTTGAGCTACCTTTTCAAGCGGACGACAACCGCTGTAAACGACACGTACGAAGTCATGATACCCCGAGTTTTGTCTAGCGTAGTTAATGAATTGATTTCCAATAATTCCGCATTCGTTCCCTTCTCAACAGCGTCTGCTCTCGCCCTTCATATTGCTCCCATCTGGCAGGGCCTGGCTGGGGGGTGATACCGTCTGCGGTAGCTTAAAACGAAATCCGTGTATTTCTGTCCTAACTCCTGTATAACTCCTTATGTAACATAAATGTGTATAAGACAAGGACTATGCCATGCTTAGCTATGTCAATATCTTGCGTTGTTTTTACCATCATAAAACTCATAAGAAAATATCCCAGAGGGAAAGAAAACGAAAAGAAGACACCGAAAAATTAAGGAAATATGTGGAATGCCCTCCAAGATGTGGACGAACCATGCCCTCAAAAACAACCTCCTCTCCACGCTTAAATCCTCCCACCCCTTTACGTCGCTAAGCATCCGCCTCCTTCTCCTTCGCCGCCGCGGCAGCAGCAGCAGTAGCAGCAGCAGCAGCCTCCCTCTCAGCATTCCTCTTCTGCGAATCGAGCACGGCCTGCAGCTCGGGAGGGGCCTTGAACCCGGGGTGATCGGCGTGCTTCTTGTAGAAGTAGTTGTCGGGCTTGGGACGGAGCTCGGGGGGCAGCTCCTCGAGGACGCAGGCGAGGATGCCGTCGATGGACTTTTGCTTGGAGGAGTCGCGATGCCAGATGGTGATGTTGTGGGAGTTGAAGCGGACGGAGAGACCGACGCCGCAGAGTTGGTCGCCTGGAAAGGAGAGGGAATTGCGGTTAGCAGGTTGTCTTTCTTTTCTCCTTCTTCTTCTTCTTCTACTTCTTCTTTTCCCCTTCAGCGGACGTACCAGCGTCTAGCACACTCTCAAACTTCTCGCCAATAGCAAGGAGCTGCACGCGGGTCCACACATCGGGGCCGATAGCCTTCGGCACGCGGAAGGTCCATGAGCCGCCGTTGATGTTGCGGCGGTCCTCCCAGATGGGACGGAAACCCTGCTTGAAGAGGTAGATGGATTCGCGCATCTTGATCTGGTCGACGGGGGTGTTGTTGTTGTACCTCCAGAAGTCCTGGACGGATTCGATCTGGGTGCCGAGCTGCTCGAGCTGGGCCTGGTATTCTTGGTCATCTTTGCGCTCTTTGGCTTGTCTGCAGGTGAGGAAAACGTTAGCTGCGGGAAGAAAAGGAAGCCGGAGGCCATTCGCTCGAGTCCTTTCAAACAGGGACAGAAGTTTCTTTCGGAGAGAGAGAGACGAGAGGAATGCGTCTTACCTGTCAAAGTAGACGTTCCAGTAGTGTTGGGTAGGCAGAGGCCTCATGGTCTTGAGGAAGTTGCGCTTCGCATCGTCGCGCTTCTCGGCAGGCGAGGCTACGGCGGGGGAGTCGGGATCGGAGCTCTGGGCGAGGCCGGAGAGGCCCCTGGTGAAGAGGGCTGGTCGTGTAGCCATGGTTACTTTCGATGTAGGCGTATGCGTATGCGGGATGTGTCCGTGTGGGCGTGCGTGTGTGTGTGCGTGTGTGTGTATGCGGATATGAGGGGCAATACGGGTCCGGTCGAAAGCGGGCGGCAACAACGAAGAAATTGAGTATGAAGTAGATAAGTAGTAAGAGAAGAAAGAAAAGGAGGGAAGGTATAGGGCGAGGCGAAGAAGGTAAGGCGACCCTGGGTTGCAGTACTCTGTGGGAAGTGTGGTGGGATTGCAGGGGGAGACCAGTGATTGTCGTGGTTGGTTTGCGGATACGCAGTGGTGGGGTGAAGGTGAAGGTGAAGGTCAGGAGGGGTGAGGGATGAGGAGTGTCCGGGCCGAGCCTTGGGGAGGAAAAGATCAAATGGTGAGAACAGACGTCGAAGGATTCAATTGATTCCTCGTTTTCAGTGGCTTGTTACGAAGTAGGAGAGATGGAAGCAAACAAATCAATGAGGATCAAGTGGTCGTGATAGCCTCCGGGGCTCTCGTTTCTAACAAAGGCGGATTGATGAATCAATCAATCTTGAATCCGATTGAGAGCTCAATTGGGGGTCCCTAGACCAGCCAACGATCAGAGCTCGAGCCCGGCACGCCAGCGCTGAGGACACTGGCATTCATTCATTTGACCATTGACATTGACCACTGTGGATTCAGTCTCCCGCCTTCCTTCCGCCTTCCGAGACGTTCAGATGAGGGGTCATCGGGGTCATCGTTACAGCGGTCTGGGCCTGTCTTAGCTCGTCCTGAGCCAATCTGATTGATACAAAAGGTACAAGGGCCCCTGTACACCCCTGCAAACCCCTGTACGGTTACGTCAATGGGACCTAAATTAGGCCAGGTTCAGTGCTTGGCGGGAAGTGATGGGGGGCGCTACTTCGACCCTGAGAAGTACCAGACTTCGTTCGTCCTTCAATGCTCCGAGTCGACGAGAAGCGCCAGTGTCTGATCACTTCTCCAATTCGAATTGACCTCGAGAGCCAATTGCTCACCAGTCCTACTCTCGTCCAACCCTCCATCAATCAAAGCCGGCTAGAGAATACATGACCCACCATGCCGTAACATTATCATCGCCCAGTGAACGGACGCTTGTTCCTCGAGCTACGAAGTACAACTAGATCCCTTCTAGCCCTCCCGCTACCCTCGACGCTTCACTCGTCCTCTCAATGGACCATCGCCGACGTCTCTTTGACCCGTCTAGCCCACGACCTGAAACAAATCAGCAAGGGCTTCTTTCAACCTCTGCTTCTCTGCGAAACCAGGCTCCGACTTCGAAGATCCCTCATCCGAGAGTCGCCCCTCGCCCCCCTTTTTCATCCCGCCTTAATATTAGAAAAGTTCCATTGAAGCCTGGTTCCGTGAACTACAAAGAACGATGCATGCATTCAAGGAACACACCAACGGTCTCGGACCAGTTTGTGTCGAATCAGCGTGTGAATGCTTCATGAGGCTTAACTAGTCCATTATACTTACCTCGTATTAAAAGGCTCGCCTTGTACTTCGTATATCAAATACCCTCGTTTCTGATCCTCGTACCTGATCCTCGTACTTGTAGTTTAGACGCCTCCACTGTGCTGGAATAAACGATGACCCGCACTTGGGACGAACGTGATGTGATGAGAGGTGCAACCCCGAAGCGCCTCGAGCTCGAGTCGCCTATCTCAGTTACACTCATTGCTGCTTCAAACAGCCCTGATCTCAGTACTAAGCCTTTTATCTTAGCTAACCAATTATGCAGGCCTGGCCATCGACTGTTTCGCTTTCTTTAAAGGGACGATATAGGATAAGCACCCATCCAGCACAGCCAGCTCCTGAGGCAGGATGGCGTCCTCACTCCTCCAGGTGCCAACACCTGTGCACCAAAAATAAACCTCACTTCAGCATCCAAAATCCTCAGAAATTCGCCTCGGGGCATTTTGAAGATGACAACTTGAACCCATCAACAGCCAAAAACATCCAAAGAAATGGTTAAAAAGGGAAAGGCCAAGGCGGCGCCCGCAGCCAAAGATGCTGCCAAACCCACCGGCGCCTCGGCCTCCCAGGGCAAAAAGGGAGGAAGCGCCGCCGCCACAGGCAAAGCTCCAGCTGCAGCTTCTACCAGTGGTAGTCAGAAGCAACAACAACAGCAGGTTCCGGAGTCGCATCTCCTCGCACCCCCGAAACCCACAGCGAAGCAGATCATAGGCGGCTCTTCATGGACCGGCAAGCTCCCCATGAACCTCTTCAACGAGCTCTGCCAGAAGCAAAAATGGAACACCCCCGTCTACGACATGAGAAAGACCCCCGAGGGCTTCTCGTGCTGGGTGTCTCTCAGCGCAAAGGACCCCAAGACCCAGGAGGTCATCAAGCTGGAGCCATTCAAGATCCCCCCTTCGCACAAGCACCTGCTCTGCAAGCCCACGGCCCTGGAGGCGAGGCACTACGCCGCTACGTACGCGCTCTTCAGGGTCTGCAGCATGCAGAATAGACATGCCGTGCTGCCCCCAGCCTTTAGGGCTCTCTGGAAGGAGTTTGCAGCCCTCAAGGCTCAAGACGTCAAGGATGGTAAGGAGTGGATGTACAGCGCCGATCCGTTCAAGACTTATCGTGAGCGCGAGGAAGCCAAGGCCGCCGCGGAGAAGAAGAGGCAGGAGGCCAAGGCAGCTGAGGAAAAGGCAAAGTCCATGCCGGGTGCGTCCGGTCTCGTGCTCAGAAGCAACGCGCTCAACGCTTCCGGTAAGTCCTCGAATCTGATGAAGGGATGGAGCACTGCTCCCAAAATCGAAATGGGAAAGAGGGCTAGGGTTCAGCTTGAAGGCCTGCTGCGGCGGACCGCGACCTGGAATCCGTACGGCATCCAGATCCCCGCCGCGGAGCGGAGGGCGATTGTCGCCGAGCTTTCGAAGCTTGGTTTCCGTCCGAGTCACATCGAGGAGGCCACCTCGTACTGCAAGGACAAAGAAGAAACCCTTGAGTGGCTCTTGATCCACGTTCCCGAGGATGACCTGCCGTCTTGGGCGTTGCCCGAAAGCTACGCTGCTGGAATTAGTGTCGGAGCATCCGACCTGAAGCGCGAGGCGGCCATCAAGCGCCTAGCTCAGCCTGGTTACTCCATCGACCTCTGTCGGCGAGTCTTTGACAGGGAAAATGCCGATGAGGGCAAGGCTGCCGAGGTCCTCCAGCGGATATTACTTGATAAGCCCGAGCACGCACCTGAAGCCGAAAATGAGGATGAAATGTACTTTGGAACGCCCGAGGAGAACTGGCAAGAGGAAACCGAGAGTCTCGAGTCCGTCTTCGGCGACAAGTTTACGCGGGAGTCCGGCAGTCATATTATTCAGGTTCGTCTCGATGACATTACCGACCACAGCAAGAAGGTTGTGAACGTGGCCGTTCAAATCCGCAAGTCCCCGAGCTACCCCGCTCAGCTCCTCCTCGGCATCGTCGCCAACCTCCCCTCCTACATCAAGCTCGCCATTCTCCGAAAAACGCTCGAGTACGTCGAAGAGTCTCTAAAGGGCGAGCCAATGAAGATCTACTTCGTAGTCGACTGGATACAGCAAAACATACAAGGGATCATCGAGAACCCCGGAAAACTCTTGGACATCTCGTCCGTCTCCTCCGCGGCCTCGGAGTCCCAGACGGCTGGCGCCAAGCCTCTCCGGTCGGGGAGGAGGAAGCCGCCAGCACCTAAACCTACCAACTGGACGCCGGACCCGGCTTCCAAGGCGGAATGGCTGAAGAGACAGGAGTCCCCCGCGTGGAAGGAGATGGTTTCCAGCCGCCAAAGGCTGCCAGCCTGGAAAGTCAAAGAAAAAATCGTCCGAACCGTATCCGAGAACCATGTCACCATCATCAGCGGCGAGACAGGTTCCGGCAAGTCAACGCAATCCGTGCAGTTCATCCTCGACGACCTCTATTCCAAGGGCCTAGGCAGGTGCGTCAACATGCTCGTCACCCAACCGCGAAGAATCTCGGCCCTCGGGTTAGCAGACCGAGTCGCCGAGGAGCGATGTTCCAAAGTCGGCGACGAGGTCGGATACGCCATCCGTGGAGAATCCCGCCGCAGCCACCAAACTCGGATCAACTTCGTGACGACGGGTGTGTTGCTCCGCCGCCTCCAAGTTTCGGGAGGCCGGATCGAAGACGTCATCGCGTCGATTGCCGATGTGAGCCACATTGTTGTCGACGAGGTCCATGAGAGGAGTCTTGATACCGACTTCCTCCTGACCATCATTAGGGAGGTGATGAGGCGGCGAAAGGATCTCCTCAAACTCGTCCTCATGAGCGCAACTCTAGACGCCGCATCGTTCAAAAATTACTTCGCGTCCGAAGGACTAAGCGTCGGACTGGTAGAGATCGAGGGTCGCACGTTCCCCGTCGAGGACTATTTCCTCGACGACATCGTCCACTTCACGGGCTTCAGACCCGAGGGCTACGACCAGTCCAGCAGAGCCGGGATCGGCGGAGATGGCATCGGAAAGGCAATTCAAAAACTCGGCCACCGCATCAACTATACCCTCATCACCGAGACGGCCCGCGCCATCGACTCGGAACTCTCCGCGGCCAAGAAGACGGGCGGTATCCTCATCTTCCTCCCCGGCGTCGCGGAGATCAGTCAAGCCTGCAACATGCTCAAGTCCCTCGGATCCCTGCACGTCCTCCCCCTCCATGCATCTTTAGAGACAAGGGAGCAGAAGCGCATCTTCGCCCGCCCACCTCCGGGAAAACGCAAGGTCGTCGTGGCCACCAACGTCGCCGAGACGTCCATCACCATCGACGACATCGTCGCCGTCATCGACAGCGGCAAGGTCAAAGAAACCACCTACGACCCGCAGAACAACATGCGCAAGCTCGAGGAGAACTGGGCGTCCCGCGCCGCCTGCAAGCAGCGCCGCGGCCGCGCAGGGCGAGTGCAAGAGGGGAAATGCTACAAGCTCTTCACGCGGAACCTCGAACAGAGCATGGCCGAGCGGCCTGACCCTGAAATCCGCCGCGTTGCGCTGGAACAGCTCTGTCTATCCGTCCGGGCCATGGGCATCCGCGACGTCGCCGACTTCCTGGGCCGGTCTCCCACGCCGCCCGAGGCCACCGCCGTCGAGGGCGCCATCAAGCTCCTACGTCGCATGGGCGTACTCGATGGCGACGAGCTCACGGCCCTGGGGCGCCAGCTCTCCGTCATCCCCGCCGATCTGCGCTGCGGCAAGCTCATGATCTACGGGAGCATCTTCAACTGCCTCGACGATAGCGTCGTCATCGCCGCCATCCTCAGCACGAAGAGCCCCTTCGTCTCGCCCGCCGAGAAGCGCGACCTTGCCCGCGAGGCACGCGAGCGCTTCTCCCGCGGCGACGGGGACCTGCTGACGGACCTCAACGCCTTCCGCCAGTGGGACGAGTTGATGCGCCAGCGCACGCCGCAGCGACAAGTCCGGGCCTTTTGCGAGGAGAACTTCCTCTCGTACCAGACCCTCTCGGACATCGCCTCCACACGCACGCAGTACTACGACGCCCTAACAGAAGCAGGCATCACCGCCCCCTCCTCCGTCTCCGAATCCACCAACCCCTCCTCTTCCTCTTCTTCCCCTGCACCCTCCACATCTGCGCCCCTCCTCCGCGCCATAACAGCCGCAGCCTTCACCCCGCAAATCGCACGCATCCAGTTCCCCGACAAGAAATTCATCAGCTCCGTCTCCGGCGCAGTGGAGATGGACCCTGAGGCCCGGCTCATAAAATACTTCACCCAGGACAATGGGCGGGTCTTCGTCCATCCTGCCAGCGCGCTGTTCGGTAGCCAGAACTTTTCTGGCGGTGCTGCTTTCGTGTCGTATTTTAGCTTGATCTCTACCAGCAAGATTTTCATAAGGGATCTAACGCGTAAGTTCTTTAACCCCCGGCCATGAATTTTTTTTTAAAGGCAAAGGAAAAGAAGTGTAGAAGAGAAACTGACAAGAGTAGCATTGAACGCATACACCCTCCTCCTCTTCGCCGGCCCCATAACCCTCGACACCCTAGGCCGCGGCCTCCTCCTAGACGACTGGCTCCGCCTCCGCGGCTGGGCCCGCATCGGCGTGCTGGCCTCGCGGCTGCGCAGGCTCCTCGACGGCGTCATCGCGAGGAAGATTCGTGGGGGTGACGATGATGACCTCGGCGGCCCCGGCGGTATAGGGGCCGGCGATGCGGATGAGATTATTGGGCTCGTGACGAGGCTGGTGGAGTTTGATGGGTTGGATGCGTGAATGGGACTTTGGGACTTTGGAGGCTTCTTTGATAAGGATAAGACGGAAAAGATATAGAACCCCGACTAAAAGAAGAATTGCAAATAGACGAACATGGAGTAGAAGGTTTCTATCTCTCTTTACAACGGGCCATACCATGGCTCATTCGTCTGCTCAGATCACGAACAGTAAAAACGGAGGGGAAAGCGACAAAAAGGCTAGAGGCAAAAAATTGTCTGCCTCTGTTCTTCAAATAAAACGGCCATCGCCTAATTGAGGCATGCTTGGTCTAAAGTTCTGGTTCCACGCCCATAAACAAAGGTTTGTCCTTTCCACCAGGGAACGCCATTGCTTCCAAGTCATCCCTGTCCAAGGGAAGAAACTTCCATTCCTCGTCTCCCATATATAACGCCATTCTTTTTTCCCTTTCCTACCCCAAAAAAAAGGAAGGGAAAACAAAAATAAAGTCCGATAATACAAAGGCGAGAGCTGGATACACAAGTTGCGGACCCCGTGTTTTATCAACATCAGGGTGCTGGCTTGACCCTATCCAGCTTCTCGATAAGAAGTGAAGATGATGTCTTGTCCAATATTGCAAGAAAGCATTTGGGAGAGCTGTCCAGACCCTCCAAAGTATCCAAAAACCCAGAAAAGAAAAGCAAACAGTCCTGCAGTACGCCGTGCTCTCTTCTTCGCCTGGGGTATATAAGTGCTTTCGACCAAGTGAGATTGGAATAGTCAGAAAATAGAATGAGAGGGGGGGAAATAAAACACTAAAGAAAATAGAAGCCGGAATTTGGCATGAATATAGACAAGAAGAAACAAAAAGCGAAAGAAATAGGAAGGGCTGTCGTCAAAACTCGATCCGCGCCCTTCCATATCGACAGCCCTCTCACCAGCGGACGGTTGTCTGTCGAGCGCGCAGATCAATCGCATTTGGTTGCAGCCCTCGCGTCCCCACAGTGAGTCGCGCGAATCTAGACTTCAAATCGAAATCGACTGATCGGACCATGACTCGCTTTTCCTCGGGGACTAATCTCTTGGATGATCGACTGTTGGCACCGGGGCTATTTCCGTCTCTCCGGTAGTCCCACCTCGCATTTCCACCTGGGCCAAGCGCCACGTCTTCTCCAAATGGCAGCGAATCGTTGCTGCTCGACCGCCGACTGGGCTGGCTGCGGGTTCCAGGGGACAGACCCTCTTCCTCCTCGATCGAGGCCACCCACTCTCCAATGTGGGCGCTGAGATTACTGTCCCACATTCCCTCACGCCTGGAGCTGCTTCTCAAAAGCCGAATGGCTTGCCAACGAATCGAGTGGTTGCGGCACTTAGTTGCGACGACGTACAGCGGCGGGACAATGCCAAGGTCGGCACTGAAGCTCGGTTTGACGTGATAGGCTGTATACTCATGTCCGCTGAGGAAGTCGGTGGTCAGGTTTCGATGCGTGCACTGAGCCGGATCGGGGCACCTGACTGTCGCCGCTCGTCTTTCTTCGTCTCCAACCACTTCAAGCGCGAGGTCCACGATGGACTTGAACTGCGATTCAAACATGTCGAAGAGGGATTCCGAATCACAAAATGTCATGAGAAATAGGATCTGACCCATAGTCTGGAACATCTTTAGAACCGCGATTCCCGCCTTCTCTTGGGAGCTGACGTTAGGTGCACTGCGGCGCTCAAGAAGCGGCTGAAATGCATCCGACCAGGCCTCAAGCTTCTCCTTAAATCCAAGTCCATATTGTTTTAGGGCACGTGGAAGGATGCCCATCGGGCCGTTGGGATTTGACGACAAGAAGAGGGTTTCGGTAAACCTCAGCATGGCTTCGCAGAGCGCGTCCCAAGATCGCCGGGCTTCGAGGAGACTACCAAATTGGGTCGGTATCGTATGGGGAGTATTGAGACTAGAATGAGACGAGGAGCTTGAGTCCGAGCGTGGTGAGGTGGGCTGGTGGTAATCGGGAGTCTGAGGTGTTAAGCGAATTACATATGGCTGAGGAAAGTGGAAGGCCATATCGTACGACTTGGCCTGGATTGCTAGGCGGGTGAACATCTGGATTAGCTCGTCTTCAATGGTGTCTGGTGACCCCCCAGGTAGTAAGGGATGCTGCCGTGCTGCTCGGAGCTGGTCGAGAAGACGCAGGCCATTCTGGATCTGATTTATCGCCTGCTTATGATCGCCGATGAACGAGTCGAAACAGGCCAAAAGGACACTTGCCATGAGCAGAATCCTATGGGACCCTTGATTCTGCGCGTTCAATGCAACCACCGAGGTTATGGCCGCCGAGTACTCTTTGACGGCCATCTGCCAATGGGATGCTGTTGAACCGGCAGGGACGAGCTGTTTCTGCGACGGAGAGGACGGAGGCGATAGACTTGATTGTTCGAGTGTCTTGTACAAAGCACCGAGGGCGACCACGGCATGGCGGATAGCCGGAGCCGAGTGGCATTCCCGGAGAACGGTCTGGGTCCAGAAGACCGAATCGAAAAAGCCAGATAACTCTCTGGCCGTTTGTGTCCGAAAGAGTTGGAAGTACAGGCCCTCCTGGTCCTCGAGAGGCAAGTTTGCACTCGGCCGATAAATGGTTAGGCCGTTCGCGTTGAGGTTCGCAGTTGAATTTTCTTTTGGAGCAGGCTTGGCTGCTGCTCGCTTCCGAGCAGCCTGCTTTGCTGCGCGTCGAGTAGGTAGGTCGACATTTGGAATAGGTGGCCGAGTTGCGGGTGCTGGTTGAAGAAGAGGCGGAGCGGCTGCGAGAAGTGGCTTTGGCGCAAGGGGGACAACTTCATGAGGCCTCGCACTTCGGCTTGGCGCTGGATATCCAGGGCATGCCTTCTTAGACTTCTCACATTGCGAACAGCTAGGCCGCTTCTCGTCGCACTTTATCCTCCGTTGCCTAAGAGGCGCGTTAGACAAGCGAGAGATATAGAATAGAAACAGAACGAAGGACGCGATTAAACTTACTTGCAATTGTTGCAACCGGTCTTAACTTTGGGTTTGCTCGTCCTATTCCTCTTCGGTTTGTCTTGCGATGCTTGCCCAGAAGATGCTGGAGACGGCTGTCCTGTTGAGGAAACCATTGGACTCGGCGCCGTCGACGACGCCATGACTGAAGAAGCACAATAGATTGGATGGTAATATCGGTGTCTACTGTGTATATGAAGTTGTCATACGGGGAGGAAGGGGGTAAATTCGCCTGTTTGCTCTCCTCGTCGAGACGGGCGAATTCCAAAGAGCAAAAGCTTGAACCCACGTGAAGATCGGCAGCTCTTTGAGCTTGCTTCAGAACCAAGGATGTGGGGCAGGAGGCGGGAAACAAAAGGAAAGGAATGGTGCAGTAGTAGCACACTACACGCCACAGGTCTGGTGGTGTTGGTAGATTATTAAGTGGATTGCGCGCACTGAGGCCGCAAAGATCCATATGAATCTGTGTCTACAGAGGAGAACCTAGTGGCAGCACAAGATGCTGAATGACGGGACGCGGATGGCACGAGAGAGAGCAAAGGTCGTCGGCGAAAGCGATAGTTAATAAGCGAATTGCCTCGCGTGTGCCCTTGATGCCGGGGTGGTATCTCGGGAAAGACCTGGGGTTTTGTGGATGCTGGATTTAAGCTAATGGCCGAAGCCTCGACCTAACCAGGGACAACGGTCCGTTTGCCAGCGATCGGACGAAGACGTGCCCTGTAAGTGGGTAATTATCAGGGGCTTTATAGGGGGGTTGGAAATCGCGACAGCCGGGATTAGTGCGCCATCAAAGCCCTACCGCAGGAGCGGGCAGAGACGGCCGTTATCAACCAGTTAAGAAGATTTGTACTTGGTACTTGTTGGCAAAGGCTCTGCTGCAGGCGATTCTGGTAGGTGGAACGATTAGCGTTGGCACTCTTGTTCTCTGTGCTGCAACATGACCCCATCAAAGTTCAGAAAGGGAGCTGGAGACCCAATGCTGGTTGGTTCAAGTTGGGAGCAGCGCCCCTGGTTCGTCGCCAAGGGGGGTCTGTCCACCTCCATGGATACAGACGGATTCTGGGGAGAAAGATGCACGCACCTTTGATGTCCAAGGGTGCACGTTGCACCTCTGGGTTATGGGTGGGTACGTAAAATCGGCGCTGGTATTTTTTCGATTGAAATACCAAGAGCTACTCGAGCACGGAATCAAGTTTTATCGGCCGTGACGTATCCGAGGATGGTAATTAGTCGACACTACTTGGAGGAGCTGCCGGATTGAGAATAGCTAGACGCGGGCTCGTCGATGAAAGAGAGATCGCTTGCGGGGAGATTACTAGTTTTAGCTGGTTAGTTTGAGGAAAATTCCCGGGGAAGCCAGGGAAAGCAGGTGAGACATTGATTCAGAGTATACAGCGCGCGCCGAAGACAAGCACAACACCAGGAGGCCAAGGGTAAACCACAGAGATTTGGTAGCCAATGCGGAAAAGGGGGGTTGAAGGAACGATCCGAACTACCTTGAAGGTGTGCACACCAGTCGGTCGGGAAGATGCGATCCTCTTCGAATCCTGGAAATAGAAAATGGCAACCAAGACAACGAGGTAGACAAACTCGGAGGTCTTGAGTTAACTAGAAAGGCAGCTGTAACAAGGCCGTTCCAAAGACAGTCCCCGAGGACAGAGCCCTGTCGTCACTCTATCCACAAAGGGGCTGGGCGTCTTTCTCTCGAAACTCGCACCCTGCGCGAGACACCGTGTCGGAGTGGAATTGAACCGACGGCAATGGCAAGGGAAATATTAGAGTTTCTTGGCCAGAGATGGGGAGAAAAAGAGTTCCAAAAAGAAGAAGAAGAAGAAGAAGAAGAAGAAGAAATAGAGAAAAATCGATAATAATCCCGAATAAAAAAGAAATGTTCAAATCAAGTAAAGGCCAGCTGCGTCTCGCCGTTAGAATTTCGAATGGGCTCGCGCGAAAGGAGGTCTGTCTTGGGACCCTGTCGTGTTAGTTGCTACCAAGGAGCAATGGATGTGGGTGGCAGGGGTCTTTAATGGGGAGAATCAATCGATGGACTTGGGGTTTGCTCGCTACAAATTCTGGTTGCTGGTGGGGGGGATTGGGGAGAAGAGGGTGCTTATGTTTAACATCAAACCTGGTTTGTTGTGGCTTACCTTGTTCGAGTCTGGTGTCTGCCTTTGCAGAACTATTAATTGGGTGAGATATTAAGCCAAACGAGGGGCCCCAACTGCTACTGGGTTGAACCAGGCGATAAGTGACGAGAGGTCTGGTCCTGGGATGAAAATGTCTGGGGAACATGAAGCCAAGCTTGGAGGACGGGGGGATGTGGCGGGAATTCAGACTCTTAATATCCGCGCAGTCCGACGTCAAGGTGGTTTCTTCGTATGTGACGGTGACTCCAGAATATCGGGCGGCGGGTGAGACCAGAATCGATGATACCGCAGCCAGCAGGAGCAACTGCGGAGAGTACAGACGATCCTTGGGTACCCAACAGATACGATATCTGTACGTATTCCGTCGTCGCAACAATGAAGTACTCCGTGCCAGTGTAAATCGGCAGCGTTGACTGTAATTGCGTTGTACTCTGTGAAGTCTGGTACAAGTACGGCTCAACCCAAGCCCCCCCCCGAAGCCCACTCCCATTCAATCGCTCAGTCCCCCCTTCCCAGCCGGTTTGATCAGTGATCATATCAGGGTCCAGCCCCAAGCTTTGTTGTGGCTTTGCAGAAGTTCCGTTGTCGAAGTCTAGTCGAGTCCCACTTCCACCAGCCATGGTGATGTAACGACTGGACGGCACTGGGCTGCCAACAATTTGCAGGGACGGCCGCCGTTCGGGGTCGATTCAGCAGCAACAGGCCCGGCGTCCAGCCTGGCCATCGGCTGTTGGCAATTAATCGAACACTGCGACCACCTTGATAGTGATACAATCAAGATGAGCTCCTTCCATGGGTACAAGCTTCTGCATGTGTACCAACCCTTCATTACACCTTCCCCCCTCTTGGTGATCCAGACGGTCGTCAGATACTGCAAATGGCAAGCATCACCGAAAGCTCAACAAGCTCTTCTCCCCCCCCTTCTTTCCCTCCATGCTAGCCTTCCCTGAATCATTAGCTCTCACTCGGCTGCCTCTGCCAAGCTCGAGTGGAAAGAGCTATCGTTGGTTTTGGGCTTTCTATTGAATGCTTTTTTTCATGTGAACGTGTTGAAACGGCAAGGACAACTCTAGAAATAACGACAGGGCAATTGCCAGTGACATCTTATCGCAAGCCAGAGTGGCTGTGTTTCTGTGTTGCTGTGTGGTGATTGTGCGATCTGGCTCCCACTCACTGTTAAGCGACGACAGGAAACCATCAATTGATCATCGACATAGATTCCATGCCAAGGAACCGTTGAGATCGAGGAGCGAGCCAAATCTTATTTTCGGGGTAGCATCGAGATCTGCCTCGGTACCCAGAACGACACACAATTTATTTTACTCCGTGCTTGCATCAATATCATTTTATTTTCATGTTTTTACTCTGAATCCCCCGCCGATTTTGTGATGCGGCCTCGCCAACAACAAGGGCCAGGATACCTTGCTTGGGACTTGCCCCGATGCACTCTGCGGTCATGCAACCCGATGCAAGCTGGAAGCGCCGAGTGACAGCCACTTCTGGACGTCCACACTAGCCCTTCCAAACCGGCGGCACCTTTGAAAGATCGGCAGCCCTACCGAAAACGGGAAGTGGAAGATGCACGGGGAAGAGGAAGCGGGGACGGTTCAATCGTTGTTATTTTCCCTACTGCATCAAAATATCGTAAGACGGCAATTGAACGGGGCCGCCGTCTCCAGCCCTACCACATACAACCCGGTGCCATGTCACCATCGTCTCGCAAGTCAGGAACTGAACGATCGCTTAGCCCGTCCGCGCCGAGGTAAGATCAATTGATGGACCTTACGGCCCTTGATGACAAGGGGAATGTCGTGCTGTGCCCCCCTCATGCTTCCGTTTCTATTACTCTTGCCGGATGCAATGCCCGAAGAATCCTTCCGGCGGTTGGGGCTATTTTGCCGCATCTCATCTGAACAAGCCGTTTTGCTTTGAAGCAACGTCACAAAACAAACAAATACAAATTCCGACAAAACGGATTGGACACGCCATCATGCCCGTCATTTGCGCCAATAGTGGTGACCCTGGACAAATTGTATCAACACAGTGTCGCCGTGACGAGACTAGCCTCATGCTGCTTTTCGTACATGTAGGATGCCTGAATGTTCACCGCTGTGGTTCGCTCGCCGCAGTGGGATGAATGACTCTGTCGCGGAGTTAACACAGGCGGCGGTATCTTGCACGGGATTGACTGGTCACAGGTACGGGCAGCACCTCGCAAAAGAAAAAAAAAGAAAAGGGGGGGGACCAAAGCGATAACTTGGGAACGCCCGTGGACCACCGGCTTGGCGAACTATGCTCAAACGTCTAAAAAATTCAAGATTCAGGATCGCAGCTCGCCTGACAGTCTTGGTTCTTGGGCTTCTTTTCCGACTCCTCCCGTGGCCGTGGCCCCTATTTGTTGGGATCAACTTAAACGTTGATCATAGCTCGCCACAATTTGGAATTCAAAACTTAAGACAAAGCACAAACCGAGGTATCGAGTTTGTTTCCTCAGCCCTACCCCAAATGGCGGGAAGAAACTATGAGTCCCGTTCTGCGCAACTGCACCTCGAGAACAAAAAAAAGCACACCGACTCGCCCGAGACCAACCGACGTGCAGGTCTCAATCTCCGTCGATGCCATCCTTTCGAGATAATACCCGTCAACCTGTCTTGAAGCGAGCAGAATACGCAGAGAATGTGCCCCGTGTTCCATTCTCCTCGGACCACCTCCCCACTCGGCCCAAAGAGACAACGACCTGCCCCTCCATTTCAGCCCTACCGAAGCTCCCTGGTTCCGCTATTTGGCAGCGCCGCGCATGATTCGCTGGATCCTTGAGATTCCTAACATTACATCCGGAGTGCCCGCTGCAACATGGTCCCGGACGAGTGGGTGTAGGATCTGGATATCACTAGTACACACACTACTTTGTACTTCGTACTCTACATCGTGAAATTGATGCTCCATTCTCCAGTTTGCACAGCCCTATTCCCCAACCCCCCCACTCTCTTTTTCTC